GGTCTAGACAATACAAATGTGCAAGGCGAGAATGAATTCTAAAACAAGATTGGCATTTAGGGGATTGGCTGGGCTTTTTACATGCCTACTACCTCTAGCACAATAGAAAGTTATTTCACAAGATTAAAGATTTTATTTTTCGTTTTATAATTAGGTTTTCGATGCATCTCATTTTAAAGACTTTATTTGCATACCTTGGCATATTCAGAGTCAAAGAAGTGAGCTATGCTATTCATTTATAGAGCATTTATTTTAAAGTTTATGAATTGTTCAACCACCCATTCCATTGTCTATTTTGGCCTTGACAAACCACTCAAACCGGTTTTAATATAGGCTTTATAATATGATGTCCCAATCTCTACACCATTTTCAGTCACCTGCTAAGCAAGTGATCATTTATGGCCCTTTTTTGACATTGTTCACCATTGTGCAAGAGTATGGAATATTTTACAAACCGAGGAAGATACTCTAGATCATAAATTCATATGCAAAATGACATTATTTCTTGTCTGACAACATGGCTTCTATTTTTATGGGTTAGATTAACACTTTATCTGTATTCCATTTTAAGCTGCCCCTCTCTCATGGCGAACTTTGGCTCTTATTCCCGGCTCTTCACGTCAATTCCGATTTGTTCTTAACCAGCCTGAGTCTTTACCCCTATCGGGTCAATTGGAGCAAGACATTATCCTCGACCCAATCATAGCCGCGAATCAGCCTATCGACAAGGCACCGGAGTTCCGGATGAATGGCAAATCTGTCATAATCAACGCCACCAACATTGCTACTTCTTCTTCAAACTTTCCTATTTCTCCTGAATACCTGGAGCATTCAGAGCAGCATTGTTCATCCTCAGTTGATTCTGCCTCATATTCAACACCTTTCTTCCTTGAGCAGAAAGCTTTGCAGCCTACTTCGTGGACGATGGGTTCCACAAATCATTCAGCTAAATCAGTGAAGACCAAAGCAATGGCTGCCCGCTGGGTTCAACTGCCCCGAATAGCCGGAGAAACACACTTTGGCCTACAATTCCGTCTTTTCTTGATAGACCATCAAGGTATTGGTCCTAGTGGCCCTGAATCACGCTGGGTCAATATTCCACGTAAGTTGTTAGCAAACGATGTCATTGATTACGTCATGTCAGCTTCCACTTTCTCGGGAAGTTTAATAAATTTTACTGTAACTTTAAAATAAACACCACCATTAATACCTAACATTGTTAGGAACTGTTCGCAGATTGTGACAGAATTTACCGAGGCCTTTTGTTAGAGAAAAATTGCTTCAATCGTGAGGGATAGTTAAAATGAAT